GGGGTTTGGATCGGCAGTCTGCTGGGATTGCAAGGTTGAATGAGTAAAGTCGACCACTTTTCTCTCTCAGGGATGGGTATCGCTAACTCGGGGCGATGTGGTGAGTGCTTCCTTATCCATCAGTCAAATGCATCCTCGGCAGACTGACTGTCGGGGTTCAACCACCTGATGAGTCGGTGAAAGGGCACAGTCATGCTTTTTCTGAGTGTATAGCAAATACGACAACACACACAAACACACATGCAAATATACATATATGAGTCGGTGAAACTCCGACGAAACAGTTTGTCACAGCCCCTCGTTTCTTGTCCTCTTCTCTCCCTCCCCCTCTGCCATACGGTTTACCGGGCAGCTCTGTTGGACGATACATATAAGAAAATTGTTTCATAAATATCGTCATACACTAGGCTACCAGAGTGGCCGGGGTCACTTGCCCGGCCAGGCCAAAAACAACAATAAATATAATATAATATATATATCGTCAAGTCCTTGCACGGGCTGGCCACCCGGGACCCGGGCGGCCCGGCTGGTAGCCTAGGTCATACATATATATAAAGTAAACGCCTGCCAGCGAGTACCTACCAAATAATGGCTTCCCTTTTGACTGATAGATTCGATGAACTTGGACCACATTGCTCGGCTATTGCCGATGAGAATAGCCAGATAGCCACCATAACCGCCTTTCGCTTCATTTTCCTTCACGTTCCATTTCCGTTTTTCTCGCCCAACTTCATATTCTTCCCCTGCCAGATCCTGCCCACCATCGCTGGCACCAGCAGCCTGTTCAACGTCATCGTCATTACCCAATGGCATGCCATCCTCCTGCCCGCCATCGCCGGCGCCATCGCTAGCAGCTCGACCATTGCCGCAGATCGTGGGGAGAACAGAGGTAGACCCATTGGTTGCTGACGTGGAGGATCCCGCAGTCAGTATCGAGGAAGAGGAAGACCCCGGCGCCGTCATAGCCGCCATGGCTGAATCAGAAGAAGCAGGATCGATAGCCAAAGCAGCTATGGCCTCCAAAGGAGAAGGAGGAGGAGGATCTTCTTCGATCCCTCTCTCCACAGTGACTCCGTTTCCATTCGCTTTCAAGTCCTTTTCGTCAGCTGGCGATGGCCGCAACGAGGACGACGACGGCGATGGTGGCGGCCGTTGTGATGACGATGGCCTGGCCAAGGGAGACCTGCCGCAGAAACGACAAAAAGTGGAAATGGTGCCAAGCTCAGTGGACAAAGACGAGCAGCAGGCTGACGATAATGCTGATGCTGATGATGATAATGATGATGATGATGAGGAGGAGGAGGAGGAGGGGGGAAGGAGTGTCTCTGTGGCAGGTTTGGTGGCGCCACCACGTGTCTGAGATCCATTCGATGATGAGGATTGCAGCAGAGTACGCCCGCATCCAGCTGTCAATCCCACTGCATCTCGTGCTCCGTTGCCGCACGGCCACTTCGCGGTGCTTCCGGAGAGAGCATCGTCGTGAGCGGGCCGGCGTCCTACCGACGGTCGAGATCGAGCTGCTACTGGATTGGCATTGGCGTCATAGCGGCTGCCGCCGCTATCTTGATCCCGATCGGGATCGGGATCGTTGTCACCGCTGGGAGGGGAGAGCGTGCTGATCCCGTTCGACTCCCGATCGCCATTGGTCGGGATCGAGATTGGGATCGGATCTCCTCCTCCTCCAAAGCTCGGATGACAGCGGAGACGCACGTCCACGTCTGCATTGTACCAATCAAGCGACAGCGGCGAGACTAAATCAATGCCCCGAGGTTCCAGGACGGAAGATATCACTTCCACGACGCGCTGCCACGTGGGTGGAGCACGAAAACACTCCTCTCGATTCGTCGCCGCCGCCGAAGCCGCCATAGCCGTAGCCATAGCCATAACGGCGGAGGTGGCCGCCGTCGGTCGTCTACGTACTACGGTTAGCGCTAAGTGCGGAACAAGGACGAATGGTCGGATGGGAGAAGTGATACACTTAACTTGTCGGTTTGTTGCTTTTATTTATTTTCCGTAATAGTAACAGTTAAAAACAGTTACAGTATTATATTTTCTGGTGCAAAAAGAAGGGGGAAAAAAAAACGAAATCTGGTGCCAAAAAATGGATCAGACAACGCGCTCTCGACCCGCAGATCCCCCCTTCTGCTGAGGAAAAAAAGAGAAAAGAACCCCCCTCTGCCATTCAGGAGGTGGTGGGTTCTCCTGCTGGGGGCTTGGTGCCAACTTACTGAGGGCCTACTCACACTAGTAGGGCCTTTTATGGCAAAATAGCTAAAATTCGTTGGTTGTGCCAGTCGCACGAGGCAGGGAAAGTGGCAAAAGCTGCAAACGGGGTATCAAATGTCAGCGGCCTGGGGGGCCGCGGGGAAGGCCATTTCTTTCTTTTTTTTTTTTTTTTTTGGAAGGCCATTTCTTTTTTCTTTCTTTTTGGAAGAATTGTGGCATAATTGTATTACAAATGGAAATAGAGGCCAGGAAAACCTCAACAAACAACCCGGAGGAAAGACTGGGGCCATGACCCAGCTTAGGCTTGTGCTGGAAACGGGGTCCAGCGTCCCTGGTTCTTCCCAACTCACAACTCTAAGGCTTCCAAATTAAACTTGAAGAGAACTTGAAGCGCCGAATCATTTGAACACTTGATCACTCCACCCAGTAACCCTTTAGCGCCGAATCATTTGAACACTTGATCACTCCACCCAGTAACCCGTTACCAACTTACATCCAAAACTTGTCTAACTTGTCCCTTGTATCTCAAAACGCATCCTTACTCTCCCTACAGAAGTCAGAACACAGTTCCACAACAGAATTCTAGGTTCTGTCTAAAAAGACAGAAGGAAAAGCCGCGACCGGGTGGCAACGGCCATACCACTATTCCATCTAAAACGTAACCTGTCCTCTACACCGAGGAAGCAGCCATGGGGTAATAATCACATTCCCTTCCTCGGAAACAGAACCGAACTTACCGTTTAACGCCCATGTACGCAAAAACCACAGTGGACCTCTCTTTTGTTAATCAGCCAGGATAATCAGTCGAATGTGGGACCTGATTGCCCCTTTCGATTCCTCTGAGTGAGTGGATTTGTCTCTGGACAGTTTTTGCTTCCGAGCTTGCCAAAGAATCTGCATAATGGCCCCTCTGCAAACCTGCGCCACGTACCCCCAACCAGAGTCATATGTCATTGCCGTAGTGCTGCAGCCCGAACGAATCCACGAATCTGACCATGGGATCCCAACCCCTCCCCACCTGGACCAATGTTTCCTCCACCACTGCCAGATCACTAGGGAGAAGGGGCCCATTTCCTTTTTCTTACGCCGGAGTTCCACCTTTTTCGTTCTCTTTTTTTGCGCAAATAGAATTGATTCCAAATAACAATAGAGGTCGGGGACCTCACAATTCAACCTGGGCCCAAGTCCCACTTGGCTGAATTCTTCATTTCTGGTCGTTGATCTTCAGAATCAACGGTCAGAAATAAAAAATTCGGGTAAGCGGGACTTGGCCACTGGGGTATCTAACAGTGTCAGCCAGCTTAGCTTACAGGCATTAGCCTGCGGAGAGATTCCAATACTAATTTTCCAAATTCCTAAATAAGTTCTACTGTGAACTTCCTCTATCCTCCCAAAAGACACTGTTTGCAAGTCTTTTTTTTTTTTTTTTTTTTTGGGGGGGGGGGGGGAGAAAAGCAGCCAGAGTTAATGCTAGGGGTGCTGGTAAAAGCAGGCACCACTAGCACCTTTGGGGAGGCTCCATCTATTGGTGGGGAGCAGCACCTGCTGGAAAGCGGGCCCAGCGTCCCTTGCGCTGTCACCTTTTTTTTTTCTTTTTTTTTTTCTATTTTATAGATGAACAAAAAATTGGGATATTTCGGTTCCTGAACAAACAATGTTTTGCAAGGTAGTGATTTCTTGTAAAAAACCTTGCTGCTCTCCTCGTCACTTCCAGTGGTTCTGAAAAAGTACTTTTCTATTCCTTTTTTGCGGTTAGTTTACTTCACATAAAATTTTGTTCATGTAGGAGGCCTAAAAAATGTACTATCAGAATCTTTAACAATTTTCGTGCAAACCTAATAATTTTTTCTGTTAGGTTTTCACGAATCCTATGTTAAACGAGGGCAACTTGAAGGAATGGCGGGTGAGGACGAATTGGGGATGGGCAAACTACCAAACCAAAGTTGTTGAACACAACGTGAGGCAACGGCAGACACTAAGAACGACTCCAAAAGTTTGAATTACGGAGGCAAATTGTCATGCCTATAGGTCTGGGTATTGCACAATGTTGCCCACCTGGTATGGAGGGCAAACCGGGTAAAACAGGGTGCAGGCCCAAACCCCAATGACGCAGCTCAGATTGCAAATTTGCACACGGGCTTGGCAGGGGCAAAACACAAAGAATTAAGCCCAAAAGGGAATTTCATTCTACCCACATCTTTTAGGGGCATTTTGGCATATATCTCAACTCATAGAGGTATTTCACAAATAATCCATTTTTTTTGTCAGTTCGGGAGTTCGCTAAAGGAAATTCGAAACGAACTTTGCTGAAAAAAAAAGTTGAAGGATTTGGGTCTCACGCTGTGTGACCACGCGAGGCACCATTTTGGTGATTGCCAGAAAGTCTGACTCGTGTCTTTTGTGTGATTTGTTGTCACTATGTGACCGGGCGGGGTGGCATTTCAACAAAATCGGACAACAAAATTCGCTAATTTTGTTGTTATGCCATGACTGTGTGAGTATGACCTGAGATCATAGTCATCTGGATGTTCCTGGTCATTATTAGAGCCTAGCTGCACTACTCGTCATCATCCATCCTTTGTGTGTATGCATTAGCCTACAAGCGAAAAAAAAAGGGCGGAAATCCAGAGAATCAAGTAAAGGAAACGGGAAAAAAAACTAGGGAAAACGGCGGGGAGTTTTATTTCTTAAGGGGAGGATAGAGGAAAAACAGGTAGGCATTTCACACAGAGACGGTAGAGGTAGTAAAGCACATGACGACGAGAGAAACAAGGTTATCACATGAAGGCGATGCACACGATCATGGGTCTTTCATAACGATGGGTATGAAGCAGTCTTTTCCCGAAAAAACGCTTGCAACTCCAGACGAACTGCTCCTCAAGGACAAACATCCAGATGCTCAAAAGGAGGTATGAGGTCTATGGAGGATGTGAAGAGCTATCCATGACATAGCGCGAGAGGCCCAGGCAAGAAGGCACACCTACAATGACTACGATCACAGACCCATCGAGCATGCTCCGCAGTCAGTACACTTCCTCTCCGTCCACCTGAACAAAAAGCATCGTCGTCATCAGAGAAACCGAGCCTCGATCGCGGCACCCCCATCACTCATAGCCACGCGAAGGCAGAAAATCAAGAAACCGAAGAACGACGAGAAGACTCATATGCGCAAGAGTGGATCATGCTCCCGACGCAGCTACCAAAAACCTTCATTGCTGTGAAACAGACACTATAAAGTATAAAGGTGGCCAGGCAGCTATTTATGAGAGCAAGAGGAAAGTGAGAAGCCATTCGTGCTTCAGCGAGGGAGCCTAAGGCCGGAAGTTACCGTCACCCCCGAGGGTGCAAGCCATGTACGGAACAACTATATTCGCAGATCCACCAAGCTTACTCCCCAACACACATACTCCCATCTTGTTCATGCTGACATCATTCAAAAAAATGAGATCAAACCGTGTGTCATCAACCATACATGGCTATGCGAAGGCAAATACCCGAGAAACGCCGAGTAGTACCATGCATACAACAGCGACTCATGCTCCCTAATCGATCGAAAAGGGAGAGCAGCATGAACAAAGAGCGGTATGAGCAAAGCCCCATGCTTCACGCCCAAGCCATAGGAGCACCCAAAGCATCATCTCCATTAGCAACACGAAATAATAGGACTAGAGTCCGAGGAGGGGGGTTTATTTTCAATACACTCCCCAAACCCAATCTTCCCCAAGGCGGTTACCAAAACCCCTATTGCAAAAAATGCTTCCGGATGCAGCGCTCCCATCAATTACAACCAAAGCTAGGACCGAGAACAAAAACGAGAGAAATAAGGCCAGCACCACTATCATCATTGTCTCCCCAACACATCCCTGCGAAGCCCGATTGGTCAATGAGCAAATCCCTTCTTCCCTATCCATCACCATGTGAAGCACTAACGTAGCAACGATGTAACCAGCAATGAATGCAGAGATGAGTAGAACGGCCACCAGAAACCTACGTTGAGTGCCGCGGCAATCCATGAGGACCCTAACTCGCTACACACTTCCCCCGCGTGGTCAAACCCTTCGTGCAATTCTCCTTCACTAGCTGATGGCAGCACACAAGTCTACATCGATGATCTTCAATAGAAGCAAAGAAAGCCAGGTAACCAAGAAGGATCGCAACGACGACAACGATGCCGAGTACAAAGATCGCAGACTCCATTCAGACAAACAGCACCAACGCACGAGTCCTCAGTCCTTTCGGTAAACAGCAAGGAGTTCCTACAACAAGCCACACACAAAATCAACAAGTATATACAATCGTGCAGGTCAGGTAGCATCAAGCACTCATACAGGGAAGGGAAAAGGGGAATAAGAGAGAGGGGAAAGAGGGGGGGGCGAGAAAGACTGTCCCAATTCAGCCAAGCGGCCCTATACATGCCGACGCAACAAAAGGGGGTGGTAGGGTATCCCAAAGGCCTTTTCGCCAACTTCTACCAGGGGTGGCTCATCAGGGCAAAGAAAGCCCCAACGTTCCCGCTCCGAAAGGGACGAAGCTTAAACAAGCTTGAAGGATAGGGAGAAGGGTATGGAGGGAAAGAAGGGAGGAGACGAGAGAAAGGGGGAGAAACAGACGAGGAACATATTACCGCTGATCCTAACGCAAATGTCGCAGCAGTCGAACTCATGGCACCAAAGCAATC